TAGTCTTATCTTATCTTATCGCCAGTAGCGCGCTCCGATTATCGGCGGCTGACCGGGCCCCGCACAGACCATTAAATAAACGAATGCTATGAAAGTTTGTCTAATGATATTCTTATGAAGGAGAGGAAGGGTGGGAAGGGGTGGGGGGCGGGGGATAAAGGAAGAAAAAAAGAATTAAAAGAAAAGAAAAGAAAAGATGAAAAAAAACGAGAACGCAGGGCAATGAGCGGACGAAATAAACCGTTGATTTGATGATGACTCTGCATCAAATTTCTCCCTGCGAGATGAATAAAGATTGTCATTGTCATATCATTAAAGAGGACCGAGAACCGTTAGGTAGTGCTGATAGCGTCAGTACGGGTCACGTTTACCACACGTGTAGGTATAATGAGAAGAAGCGCAAAGATTGCTCGTCTGTCCAGGAGTTCATCAACAAACGTACACACAACAAACACTAGAGAGGCTTCGCCAATAGCCTGCCTGTATCAAACGAAGAACATCCACACGATCACGGTCATTTGATCACATGATCACGACTAGGAAAGAGCAAGACCGACACGATGAGTAATGGGGAGCCCTGCACACTGACATGAAAAAGGTCACTTAAAGTGGAGGAAGAATAAGACAGACAGACAGACAGGAACAATAGGGAGGAGTAAAGAAGTATGGCCTATTTTTATCAACCCCCCCCCCCCCAAAAAAAAACCAAAAAAAAACAACAACCCATTGTACAAGATGCCGACTAACTAAAACGACTCAAAAGAGACTAAAGAGGCAGTACCAATCAGTAGCACCAAGACCAGCCCCCCCCCCCCCCCCCCCAAAAGAAAACACCTCACCTCACCTACAACATTATATTATACTAGCATTTACTGCGACTCCGAGCGGGGTCCTCGAAGCCTCGATGCCCTGACACAAAATTCCCACAGACTGATCGTAACCGTTGCTGACCTTGTGAATGTCAAGGCCGAGACAATCAGACTGCCGGCGACCACAACCACGTAGATCTACTGTGTGACGTGTGTGTGATGTGCGACTCCGGCAGCATCCACGTACCGTGTGACGTCAGGCTACAGACAAAGGCGTAGGTAGCCTAGACTGAACAAACGGGTTGTTTGTACACCGCTCCTGCCCCTCCTTTTTTAGTAGAGGTTTTACGGCGTTCGCAACTGCATAAGCTTATATTATGAACGCCAGAAGATTAGAAGTGTTACAAGGGAGTAACAAACATAAAAAAGAAGAAAGGGGGGGGGGGAGATAAGGATAATAGATGTTTGATAGGAAAGAAGAAGAAAACCACTCCAGAGCACCCGCCAACCACCCACGCCCTCTCCTTTTTGTTTCCTCCGCCCCCTCTAACTTGAGCTAAGACATATCAAGTCATGTGAGGGTTTTTTTTTACCCATTTTTTCAACATGGTACATGTACTGCCAATAAAAGTATTAGAATACGTGAATAGCAGCTATTAATATTTTAACGTCGTCTTTCAACGTGCGTGTTTGACTGGCTTTCGGTAATTGATAATATCACAACAACAGCAATAACAACAACAATAATAATAATAATAATAATAATAATAATAATAATAATAATAACAACAACAGTTATTATATCATTGTTATTATTATTATTACTATTATTATTATTATTATTATTATTACTATTATTATTATTATTATTACTATTATTATTATTATTATTACTATTATTATTATTATTACTATTATTATTATTATTATTATTATTACTATTATTATTATTATTATTACTATTATTATTATTATTATTACTATTATTATTATTATTACTATTATTATTATTATTATTATTATTACTATTATTATCATTACTAGTATTATTATTGCAAAATTCATAGTACATATCCACGGTCTACAGCATGTCCTATGCACTTTACAACCAATATAATCTAAGCGTCATCAAATGAGTTCGCGTGGGCGGTTGGCGGGTGCTCTGGTGCGGTTTGCTTCTTTCCAATAAAACATTTAAATGTATCGTTTTTATCTCCCCTCCTTCTTTTTTGTGTTTGTTACTCTCCTATAACACCTCTAATCTTCGGCACTTATATGACCTTATTGTGTTGCAAGTGCCGTAAAACCCTTACTAAATCGAAAATGAATTCGCAGCAAGCCCCAACCTACGTGCGACATCGAGATAGTGCTTACCGCCCAAATCCACAGACGCAGGTGGAAAAGGCAAGACTAGTAGATAAACACAACACTAGGAGGAGTGTAGAAAAGTGTTATTTCTGATCGGAGCAATAAATATAGAGGTCTATAAACTGCAGGGAGCGAACTTTACATGGGGAAAATAATACGAAAACGAAACAAAACTGGGAAACAGGCTCTAATCAGCAATGACTATCCACCTGTTGGGCTTCCACAAATAAAAGTCTTGTTATCATAGAGACCAACAGTACAGTCAGGTGAAGAGAGACAGACGAGACAGTTATGTTGACCTTGGGACAGTGGGCAGTACGGTGTTGAAATAAAGGACGACAGAAGGCTCAATTGAATAGAAGCAAAGAGTAAAACAGAATGAACGCTCGGCTATATACACGGGAACAGAGAGTCAGTCTCTCTCTGGGAAGAGAGAGTCAGTCTCTCTCTGGGAACAGAGAGTCAGACTCTCTCTGGGAACAGAGAGTCAGTCTCTCTCTGGGAACAGAGAGTCAGTCTCTCTCTCTCTCACACACACACACACTCTCTTTCTCTCTCTGTGTCACTTTCTCTCTCGTTCATTCCCCGTCTGTATCATTCTGCATCCCCCCCCTCTCTCTCTCTAACTCTCTTTCTCTCTCTCTCTCTCTCTCTCTCTCTCTCTCTCTCTCTCTCTCTCTCTCTAGCTCTCGGGTCTCTGTGACCGGCATGGAGGCACAGGAGGGAGGGCCAGGGGGATTAAGGACGGGTGAGGATGTGGAGAGGTGCGGTGAGGTGTGGTGGTGTAGC